GCTTGCACAAAATGTCGCCAAAGGTCAAACTGCGTAAATTTAATGATCACATTGCGTACGTAATTTGTTATATCTAGGGAAGCCTCAGAACGCATGTTTTAGTTCTATGGGACATGATTTTATGGTTTCATCTTCAAAGGAAAAATAAACATTTTGTTTTGATTTTAATAAAATATTTAATAATAAAGTAGCCGGCAAACCCGCAGCAAGTAGGCGGACACTTTGGCCGGTTGCCGGCTGTTAATGAAAGCCCTGTGATCTCTGCAGCCCTCCTCTTTCAACGTGATCTCTGCAGCCTTCCTCTTTCAACGTGATCTCTGCAGCCTCCTCTTTCAACGTGATCTCTGCAGCCCCCCTTTTTCAATGGGATCAAAGTGATTTTAGTGAAATGAAATTACCATATTTGCTTAATTCAATAGAAAAGCACATAAACCAAACTTGCGTTTATTATGTACTTGATCATTACAATAATAATAAACTGTCATTTACCCAAGAACATCCTGCTGTAGAATTTGTATTAGAAGATGCAACTTTTATTAAAATTGAACAATGCATCAGATGTGGTTTCTATTAGATCATCTACACATATGAGAAATGGTGTAATTTTGGTTTTCAATTATTCTCTAAGAATGGGTGGGCCTTCTATTAGGGTTGCGGCTTCTAATAAAAGATTTTACGGTACTTAGGAGCATGTACGGTACACTGTCGCAGGGGAGTTTGTTGAAAGCATTAAATTTGTAGTAGGTACAACAAAGAATGTCTTCTTTTCTTTGAGCTTGGGATTTAGTTTGTACATCAGGTTATTTTGAAGGTTTTGTCTTAATTACTGATTCTGCTAAGCATCTTTATCCCTCGTGCACCTACACGCTGAGTTAGCATAGTACGTAGTTATATAACGAATAGTGGATGATTATTTGAAATCAAATCATGTTTGAGTTGAATCACCTCTAACAATGATGCATCACTATGCCACTTGCACCGCAAACCACCAGGCATTTCTAGATGTTAGAGGAGTCAGGGATTCAGTTATCCAAAAACTAGTTTAGGACCTTTTGTCCAATTAAATTTATTGGAAAACATTTTGTCTAAAATGATTAAATAAATTTGGAACATTTTGAAAAAATAGAAGTGAATTGCATCTGAATCTGTGATTAACATTCATTGTTTTACACCCAAAAATTCAAATGATGCTAATTGCTATTTTGGACAACGTTCAAAACTAATTTTGAGACGGTGAACCCCCCGAGCATCAGGCATTTTCTTCATTTCTCATACACTCGCTGTAGACCAAATCAATATTATTACATATTTATCATACTTGGCCATATCGGATCATTGAAGCCTCTGGGTATAGACAGAAAATTGCATCATTATAAAATACATGTACATCGTCTTTAGTCTACTCATTTTCTGAAAGATTTGCAGTCAAAGCATATATACAAGGCAGAATTCGATATGTTGAAAAAACCCTGATAGACTAGCTGCTCTGTGATTGGTCCGACTGTTTGGTTAGTTAGGGTATCAATCAGGTATAATCTTCTAAGCAGCTTTGTATTGATTTATTCAATCTAATAGAACTTCAAACTGGTTACTTGCGCTAGCTGCACCTAATTTTAAGATCAAAACTTGCCCTGGACTATTTGAAATTACGAAGGAGAAACATCCTACTGTTTGCCATGCAGTGTATATCATGTATTGTTTTATAGTCACTGTTTTTATCCTGTGGCGGGCACGATACGCTCCCTTTGTGCCAATAAATTGATGAATTATACCCTGTATTGTATAAGATATAAATACTATTTTAAAGGTCATCAAAGCATTGATTAATGTCTTCATGCCTCTCTGAATTTCACTTCCTGAACAGATGAATTTCATACAGTGGCATCATGATCTATCCACAAAAAATTACTTTAAATCTATTGAATGCTTTATCTTTAAAGTGGGAGGGTCGTCACCTGCACACCCGCAGGAATTGAGTCCCAAGCGACGATAGCAACATGCGCTAAAAACACAAAAGCTCTTGGGTAGACGCTCGTTTGTAAACAATGACACGCTATGGCCATCTGGCGCATGCGTAGATGACGACTCCCTCGCTTTAAAGTTTTACTACCTATAGTTTGACCATAGACACACCCATATGTATATGGTGTATGTGCTACTAATACAAATATGGTTCACTAAATGAATGGCAGATATAACTTGAATCTCGTATTTTTGTCATCTCTTTTCGACAAAACCAGGTTCGAAAATTGTGATTGCTGCTAAATAGACAATTTTTCATTTACTCTGAGATGCATTGTTGTGTGTGAAATCAAACTTGAAAACATGACAAACAAAGTCAAAAAAGAGGGAGTCAAAAAATACGAAACTGTGTTTCCATGTTTATTTGATGGTCATTTTTGACATCTCAACATTTTTTGAAAGATCATTTTGACATTGAACAATAAACAGAGGAATTTAAATTCTGATCATTTGATATTTGTGGAAGAAGTTTGATCCAGGCATTTCACACATTATGCGATTTTTCACAGTGAAATGGAAAATCAGAGATACTGAATAACGAGGCGCATAAAAGCCAGCAATGTTTTCCTTTGATTTTCAGTACAACAGGCTCACCCTGTAAAGTTGTTGATCCTACCTTTTTAACATGTTGTGAACTTGCCATACCATTTTATTAGATTAAATACGATATAAATTTTGTTGTCCACTTGTGGAGCAGTTGATGAATTCACCATGCTATCAAAATAAAATATTCATCCCTAAAAATGTTTTTTTTTCTTACTTTATATCTATGCAGGTTGTTGTTTTGTTACATATTACACAAGAAAAGCTGCGTTACAAGCTCAGAATGCTCTACATAATGTCAAAACGATGCCAGGGGTAAGTAATTGCATCTTGTGTAATATGATCAATGTAATCTGTTTTTCAATCTCAATCAGCTTGGAGCTTGTCTCTTGTAAAACATCTGCAATAGGATTTGAGCTCCTCTCAACTATGAAACTTTACCATTGTCATGTTGTGTGTATGCCACTCCTCGGTCTTAAAATATCTTTTTTTTTTATGTTTATATTTTTGAGGGCTTGAAAAGGTCTAGAATACTAAAATACAAGGAATTTCTAAATTGCATAATAGTGACATGCTATATCAACACTGAAGTTGAATTTTTGAGTTTGTTTTTTCCAAACTCATAAACTTTGATGCAAAAATAGGTCTCAAATTTAAAAAAAAACAAAAAACTGGAAAAAGTCAGAAATTTCTCGTGCTGAAACCTTAATGAACCCTGACAAGGATAGCTTCTGTAAATTTTCCTGTGAGTGGAACGTTGAACTACCATATACTTACAGCTCTGTATACTAGTAAATCTCCATATTTTCTTTGTGTTCTGTTCCAAATTGAGATAAGCAATTTTTGGGCTGGGAAGACTTGATGTTCAGTTTTCAACTTAGTTGTCCGAATTTTGCTTTCTCAGGCTGTACGTATAAAGTCTAGTCCTAATCCTAGTTTTAGTACCAGTTTTAATTAATGCACCATATTCGTACTTGTCTTGGTAGCTTGCCTACATTTAATAGCATTGTCTGAGTGACTCTGCAATTGGCATTCAATCCTTAAGCAATAAATGTAATATTACTGTCAAACTGATTGGGTTATCAACGTATTACTGTATTCATTCTACTACTATGGTTACCCAAGCTATCTAGGTGAAGTTGTATTTAGAATCTCAATTAACTAATGTCTGTATTCTAGAAATCTACAATTCGCAAGAAAACTAAAAAAGTAAAAATAAGTTTGAAATTCTATTTTGAGTTGGTAAATCTCCAAATCAAATCGCATGTTCGGCAGTAATCAACACATCAAATATTAACATATTCCACAACGACAACAAGTGGGTATAATATAATGGGTGCTGTGTTCTCCTCTGCCCCTCTGTTGGCCTTTCCTATCTTCGTGTCATGCTAGTTCACTTTCTGCACATGTGATAAAGAGGCATTCGTGGCTCATACTGCTGTCCTTTACCTACCCTGTAACTTCAATGAAAGAGACTAACACTGAATACTTTATTGTTGTTGGGGTAATTCTAACATCATATGTTTTCTGTGTTTGCAGACATCTCGTAATTGATCTTTAAACTTAGACAAGTAGTTCAGCCACCTCTAGTGACTCTGTTCTTACTCCATCATCAGTATTGTATCAAGATTTGTAATTAAACAGTGTGAACCTGATCCTTACTACTAATTTATTACTCTGACCATGTCAAGATAACTGCATCTGAGCTGATATCCAATTTGTATGTTAAGTTTCTAAGGGTTCAACCATTTGAAAGCATCGGGGGGGGTGGCTTGAAGACTAGTCAAAAAACAAAATTTGTAAGCTAGACACCGAAAAAAAAAGTGTGCAAAGGTTTACAGGGCAACAATGTTAGCACACGCAAGATAAATAAAAATGTTCAGATAAAACACCATGAGAAAAAAACTGTGCAGGTCATACTCTTAAATGATTTACTAGTAAATGGTTTACCTCTAAGTTTATCCCTGATTACTATAAAACACTGAAAAATCTGTCAAAATTAGGAAGTTTGCTAATTGAGGTTCTTCTACAGACTCTAATGGTATTAAAGACTGAACATTTTGTGTAAATGGCCATTAGCATACATCTTTCAGATTTTTTTTTAAATTCATCTGTTACTTTCGCCAAAATAAACTTTGTTGTCCAAAATGAACTGGGAAAAAATGTTAGGATGCTATACTTATTCACACACAGCACCTTGACAGCAGGAAAATGTATTTGACCAAAGATGAATTTTGGGGCTGTCTGCATGCATGGAACTATAAACCACAGGAAGAACAACCACTTCGTTTCCTTTGAACTATGATAGTTGCCGCGATGTCGAATGTTTATTTTGACTGTTTATTTCGTCGCATTAAAAAATAAGCCGATTTACGCAAATGAACGTTTATCTCAGGCTATCGGTCATTTTCGGAGTCAATCGAGCGACTTCAGGAT